AACTTGCCTAGGTAAGACCTATGGGCATGATATCTAGCAATGCGAAGTATACTGATTTTAAAGAAAGCAAACATACACTTTGCAGATGTTGAGTATCGAAATTGTTGATTTTAGGCTTGATTCAGATTCAGTTGATTACCCTTATAGACATGCTTTCTAGGCGTGATTGATTTTAAAACGTTTATAGAAACGCGAGAGTCCTATAGGCATGGTATCTATAATGCGATTTTGTTATTTTAAACCTATAAATCGTTTGCCTAACGATAGATGCAAAATGCAGAATTTAAAAGATCCTATAGGCAGGTTATCTATACGATGCAAGAATGCAGAAGCCTATAGTCATGGTATCTATGTGAGTGCAGAACCTCAAAGGCATGGTATCTATATATGCATAAGTGCAAAACTATAAACACGATTTCTATATGAAATGCATAAGTGCAGAACTATAGACAGGATTTCTATATGACATGCATAGGTGCAGAACTATAGACAGGATTTCTATATGACATGCATAAGTGAAGAACTATAAGCAGGATTTCTATATGATATGCATAGATGAAAAGCAAGATGAGATTGCAGGAATAAACACCTAAGAACATGATGTCTACCCACATGCATACATGAGTGACCCTCCCCTTTTCACTATGTACCCCCATAAGTCATTACAAATTATTACAACCCAGAATGAATAAAGGAAAGTAAAATTACATCATAAATTAAAGTACAACCAAGGAGAGCCTAATTTAGACTCCAAGTCTGAAACATGAAACAAACCAACTCCAAAGATCTGATTTCCAAAGCCTTTCTCATTTTTGGGTGTGCCAGAGTTCCCATGAGCTTTATTAACTCCGGGCAGTGCTTACACCCAAATAAATTGCAGAATTGAATTAAAGTGCAGTGTGGAAGGGCCAGCCCTCAGATGTCCATGTTCAGAGGGAACTCAAGGCTCCAAAGCAAGGATCATAGGAGGGGGACAGAACTTAGAAACTGGGACATACCCAGCAATTAGGAGTACTGGAACACCCCTAACCAGCCTGTTAGCCACATTTGTTTGGGAGTTAGGATCCATTAAGGATCGGGTCCAAACATGAGCAGCAATTTGGATACTGCCATGCCTGAACCTTAACTCAAACACATAGAGGGAATAGGGGTATAGGGATTCACAGCAGAAAGCAGGTGCAAAGAGATAATATACAGATTAATCAATGAGCATGGACAGTATAGTAAACAGGATTGCAGAAGCTGTAAATAAACACATTGGTGTGACGGCTGAAACTAAATTAGGACATACCAGTTTCAGAAGTAAGCAGAGAAAAAGTAGTAGTAAAGCCCAAATTGCAAGCAAGCAGCCAGAAGAAACTCAGATGAGAATGTGAAAGTATTGAAATTGAGAGTGTGAGGAGAGTAGTGTAAGCTGAAGGTGTGTAAAAGTATTGAATTTGAAGTTGTCTTAAAGAGTATTCAATCGTGTGTCCTTGAAAGTGCAGAAGGGTAGTCCCCTTTCGTGCAGAAGGCAAGTAAGAAAAGGTAAGAAAAATAGTTTTACAATCAATCACATAAAGTCTCCCTTTAGTTAAAGGATTCTAATTTCAAACGGGTAGAAGACAGTTAAGGAAAGAATTTGACTGAAATCTTTTCCAAAGTAACACAAAGAGGGTAAATACATAGGAGTTTATTTAAGGAAAAAAAAGTCCAGTGGTACACGATTTGTGAAAATAAGGAAAGGGAACCAATTAAACAGTTAGTAAAATCAAAATCGCAGGCTTTGTTCGAATGAACCAAGTCAGGAAAAGAAAGGAAAGGGTTTTATTAAAAAAAAATCAATAACAATCAATCAAACCTTACTAAAAGGAATTCGGAATCAATCATAATTGGCAAAACCTTTTTGAAAGAAGAATTTCTCATATATAAGGCACACAAATATCAAACAAGAAGGAGTTGTCATGCTGATTAGAAAAGACAATCATAGAAACAGCCATAAAAAGGTTCAGGTCCAATTTATAGACTCATAATGAGTCTGAGAGTTCAGGGTTTCAAAGTAGATCCCCAGTCCAAACACAAAATCGAACTTGCCAAAGAAACCCCCCAAATTCTAGGGTTTTCACTCGAATCAGGCACAGAGATGAGAAGGCAAGTCATTGAAACAGACTCAGAGGTCTCTTTCAGAGACTCATAAGAGACCAACAAACATGATAGCACGTTTGAAAGCATAAAGAACATGTTTTGAGAAAAGCTTCGGAATTTAAGCAAGTTCAGCAGAGAGAAGAAGTGATGTAAACTTAAGAACAATAAAGGAAGCATGCTTAGAACTCAAACAAAGTCAGGTAAAGCAAACAAAATTTAAGAACTCAGTAGGAAACACTTACAGTAGAAAAATACTGAAAATATAGCAAAGAACAGATAGAAGAACATAACAAAGATTAACATGCGAGCCTAGTCTAAAGGCACAGTTGAATACAAAGATATAGAAGAATCGTGTATAGTAGGAAGAAAACAGAAGAACAACACATGCGTGGTAGAGAAGGAAAACACACGAGCATAATATAGACAAACACACATCAAGAAAAGAATCAGAAAGATGTTTTGAAAACCTTTCAGAAACCCTAAATCGAAGAGAAACAATTTTGAAAGAAAAGATTGGGGAAAACACTTAAAAAATCCAGTAGAACAAAAATATATCACAGATCTAAGAAAATAAACAAAGAAAAATCTCGAATAGCTTAGGATTTCGGAGAAACCCTAGAAATGAGAAAGGCTCGGAAGAAACTCCGATCTGGAGTCGGATGAGGTTGGAAATAGGCTCCTAATGCTTGAATACGCCTGAGCATGGCCGGAGAGGCCATAGAACCATAGATCTAAGAAGGTCTGAAAGAGAATCATCGAGGTCAGACCTCAAAGCTTCGAACACCCATGGTCTAATGGTGGAGGGGGGTGAGTACAGACCATCCATGGCCTGAGAAGCCATGGATTCCGGTGAAAGTACGGTGGAAAAGGGTCGGAGATGGTTAGGGTTCCTTCGAGAGAATTTTGGGAGTGGAGAGTATTCAAGGGCGGCGGACTAAACGAAATGGGGGGATTAGGGTGGGGTTGGTGAATTAAAATGGAAAGGGGTGATCCTGGTCGTTGATCAAAATGATCAACGGCCTGGATTGAAAGAAAATTCGGGCGGGTTAAACAAATGGGTTAAGGGGTTGGGTAAAATTGGAATTGGGCCGGTCCAATTGGGGTTAGGATTGGGTCAATTTGAGGGCTAAAATTGAAATGTAAATAGGCTGTAATTGCAAAGAAATGAGGCTAAATGTTAAATAGCCAGTTTTCCCTTTTTTTTTAAATAAAAATAGTAAAAATAATTTTAAAAGCAAATTAAAAGTACTGAGTCAGTTAATAACACATAAATATTAATTTAAAAATACCGGAACCAATTTTTATAATTAAAATGCTATTAAACTTAAAATTGGCTAGAATTTTAATTATATGTAATTTAGCTTTAAAATACCAAATAAATTTGTAAAAAATGTATAAAAAATTACCTTAACTATATTTTTGCATAAACATGGGGATAAAATAAATTATTCAAAATTGAGGATTTTGGGAATAATTACTGATTTTGTACTGCTAAAATGGACAATAAATTGATTTTGAAAATCTTTAAAAAGTTGGGAAAAAAATACTAAAATCCTTAGGCATGCTTATATATGCATATATATGTTATTTTGAAAGTATTTTGTATATGTAAAAATATGCAGGGAAAAATTGGGTATCAACAAAGCAACTAGAGGACTATATGCAAGACTATGCATCCTAGCCCCAATAGGCAAAACTCTACCAACTTTAGTGTTGTTCGGAACCCACCTCCAGCAGATACATTATGAGGACACTAATCCTCTATGCACCCTATGTGAATGCTTAGGGAATAAACACAACCAACGTACAACAATTATAAAACCACAGGCAACCACAAAAAAATGAATAAAGTACAAGCCAATCAGCGTCTAAAGGGCCTTAGAGAATAGTTGTATATCCAAAGAGGAATGGCAAGAGCACGTAAACACTCAAAACCAAACGAAAGTAGCAGTTCCAATAAACGTAGGTTTTACAAACGCATGATTGGGCACTAAAAATAAGGAAGCTTGTGAGGAAAAAATAACGAATGAAGAGGGGAGTCCAAATCACACTATCACCAATGAGGAAAAGTCAAGAATGGTCAACACTAACGAAGAATTACTCAGCAGCACTGGAATAGATATCAAATCTTCAGTATCAAAGAACTCAAAAACTTCGCACAGTACACGAAACCCCTCAACCCATCCTGATGCCAACACAAAACCACGTAACCAAATTCCCAACCACCAAGTGGAGGCTACCCACCACAAAAGGAGCCTACTAATACACTTGCACATCAGGGGTCCACGTCATCGCACAATGGGAATGACACCAAGAAACAATCCTCTACATCCTCAATGCACAATCCTTTCTCCATTCTATCAGCTACACAAACTGACGACAACATCCTACACGACACCTATGACAACACCAAATCAGGTAATGCCTACCCTCTCTCCCCACCTACACGAATCATAACAATCCAATTACTGCACCCCTACAATCCAAAAACAACCTTTCCACCAATAACAAACTTTCCACCAAATATACCCCAAATATCTCCTACCTTATTAATAAATCACTTGAAATAAATGTCCCAAAATTAGTCCCTACTGAAACAATTATTTCCACAAATATTACAGCCCAAAAAGGGCTACCGGGCCCACATCACATTACTGAAGACAGACATCTAAATATATCCAACCGGGATATATACAAACACTCCTTAAAACCTTCAAATTTACCTAATGTACACCCCCCTCCTAGAGTAGGAATGATCGCCCTCCCAAGTGCATTAAATGCAAAGCAGATATCTGCAATACCAAAGCCTCCCCTGAACATCTTCTTTTTATACCACTCAAGTGCTAGCGGGTAAAATTCCATTACACCCTATCGAGATGATGAACCCCTATCATTACCTACCCACAACACTTCTCCTCACAACCAAGTTATTAATCCAACTAGCACTCAAATTCACCACCCCATCATCAAAAGCAAACCAATCTCACACACAACAACTGGAAAATTCCTCGATCACCTCTGAGAAAAAATGCACACCGGAGCTACGGAGAACCAAGCAGGAAAAATCTGGGCAACGATGCGCGCTACCAACAACCACCCTTCCGAATTCACCATCTTCCCTGTACAACAGACACAAAAATACACTCGGTCACTCAAACTTTCTACCTGCAAACCCCATTCCCTCAAATGAGCTACAACTACACCCTAAAAGGATACTACAACCCCTACCAATTCCCTCTAACCTACGGAAACAACCTCCAACTTCACCACCAAAAGTACTATCATCAAGCAACCCAAACCCCACCAACACGGCAACAGGAGGAAACACTACCACAACAAATTTCAAGGCACTGGAATTTCGACTTCATGGTGCAACAAGTAACTCTACTGATGGGGAACACGTCCACCCTATCACACTATGTCTCCCAAGGACTCCACTCAAACATGAGGATGTAGCATGCGCACCAACTATTGCAAGTCCACGAAATCATAGCACTGGAACTCAACAATCAGATCCTGGACATGCAGGCAGCAGAAACCACTCAACAAGCACCGGATCAACATTAACGATGGAGTACACCCTCACCACCCAACTTTTGGAGCATATCACCAACTATGGCGCCCCAGCCTGCTTTACCAGAACCACAAGAGAAAGAACAGGTTGTACCGCTCTTGCCATAATTTCTATTGGAGGAGCTACAACGCCTGGAAACTCCACCACTACCACCAAGGACATCAGGCATAGGACCATTTCAGGCAAGCATCCTAGATCAACTTCTCCAGAATATCACAATAATGGAGCCTCTAACACTCACCCCGCCCCATAACTCCTAAAAAAAATTCCTTATCAGTGTTCCTCCACCGGTCAAGAAGATGTGCATCAATATGAGGATCTTCCCCGTCGACCCCTTCTCTTATTCCATTGTGATGGTTCCAACACAGAGGGAGCAACCCCCCTACACGAACACAACAATTGCCAACAACTATCCCTTGATCTGAATCCCACGAGGACTCGTCAAGAGAGGCCGACACAAAACACTCCCTTAATGAAGATACTACTATGGAACTGTAGGGGAGCAAATGCAGCTGATTTTAGAAAGAACCTCAGAGTATTCCTTTCTTGGCATAATCCCAACATGGTGTGTCTCACTAAGACAAAAATGAAAGAAGCAGCGCACAAAGCACGAATGTTGGAGTTAGGGTTTACAAATATGCTACACGTTGATGCAGTAGGCTATTCAGGGGGGGATGATTATGCTGTGGAAGGATCATGAAGTGGCACGTATGGACCCCGTTGCAGTCACCAACCAAGAAATCCATGCAAATTTCCAGGTAGGTCCCACTAACCCACCTTGGATATATTATCTCTAGTTTATGCTAGTAACAGGTTTAATAATAGAAAATTCTTATGGGATAACCTTGAACGTATTTCTATAACCCATTCACTGCCATGGGTCATGTGTGGGGATTTTAACGAAATTACTTCGGCTGCAGATAAATTTGGGGGAAACCCTATTATGAATAATCGAGCTAATGCCTTGCTAACCTATCTCCAAAATCGTAACGTGGACGATCTAGGGTTTACGGGCCCTAGATTTACCTGGTCAAACCTTAGAAGTACTAGTTATAGCCTTATCTTGGAAAGACTAGATTGCTTCTATGCAAACCCATCATGTCTTACTGCGCACCCTAACTCCACTATCACACACCTCCCACGCATACGCTAAGATCACTGTCCACTCCTTCTTTCACTATCAAAAAGTTCTAAGCCTAACAATTTATTTAGGCTGGAAACCATGTGGTTTAGTCACCCGAACTTTAACAATATTGTCAATCACCACTGGCACTAATCCTCCATATATCTTACTGCCATAAAAAACTTCACCACCCATATCAAAGATTGGAATATGACTACTTTTAAGAATATTTTCCACACAAAAAAGGTCCTACTTGCAAGACAAGCAGGACCTCAAAATATGAACATTCCTAATAAGTCTCCATACCATCAATACCTAGAAAATAACATTCGTGACCAATATAATTTAGTATAAAATAAGAAGGAGATTTTTGGAAGTTAAAATCTAGAGTGCAATGGCTAAATGAGGGGGATGCAAATACAAAGTTTTTCCACACTTCTATTATTCAAAGAAGAAGGTGGAACATGATACTAGGATTTAATGACTCTGTAGGTAACTGGACATACGATCACAAAGAAATTAATTCAATTATCATAAACCACTACAACACCATCTATTCATCTAAGCTTATGTCCATCAAAAATGCTTCTCACGAACGATTTGATTATGCTCTATCCGAGGAGGATAGAAGCATATTATCAAAACCCATTTCAGAGGAAGAAATCCATAGAGCAAAAAAGTCTTTCAATCCCCTCAAGGCTCCTGGGCCGGATGGACTCCATCCAATCTTCTTTCAAAAGCAGTGGAATTCAACCAAATGCGCCGTAATCCAAATCCGCAAAGATGCTTTTGCTCATACAATCCCAATGGAGATAAATACCACCTTCATCACACTCATTCCAAAAGTTAAAAATCCTGAGCACATATCCCAATATAGATCAATTGACCCGTGCAATACATCCTACAAAACGGTTACCAAAATTATCGTGAACAGAATAAGCCTGTTTCTCAAACTTTTCATTAGTCCCAATCAATGCAGTTTCCTCCTAAGTCGAAGGGTTGTTAACAATGCAATCATAGAGCAAGAAGAAATCCACTCTTTTAATCGTATGACAGGATAGATGGGAAATATGATGCTTAAACTAGACTTAGAAAAAACGTTTGATAGACTTGAATGGTTCTTCATACGTAAATCACTTTACAACCTAGGATTCCCCTCTACACTAATCAAGATTATCATCAATTTTATCTCCACCTCCTCCGTCTCAATGATAATAAATGGAAAACCAACAAACTTCCTTGAACCATCATGCGACATTCGTCAAAGAGACCCACTATCCCCATACATCTTCATAATTTTTATGCAGTTATTATCCCACCAAATTGATCAAGCAACAGCCAATGACGACTGGATACCAGTCATGATTAGTAGATCGGGACCACAAATCTCACACCTGTTTTTTGTAGATGACCTAATACTATTCCACGTGCTGATCTAGACAACGCCAACTCTATTATTAATATATTCAACTCACTCCACCTCAGGGAAAAAAAATTAATTTCTCAAAATCAAAAGTTTTTTTCTCTAAAAATGTACCATGCCACACTCAAGATTGCCATACCAGTACCCTAAACATCCGCAAGGCTACTAAATTTGGTAAATACTTGGGTTTCCACCTAACTAACCACTCCCCCAAAGGCAAAGACTATCAATTCATAATTGACAAAATGAACAACAAGCTTTGAGTCTGGAAAGCAAAAACTCTCAACATGATAGAGTACCACCCTCATCCATTCAGTACTAGCCGCCATACCAAATTATTCCATGCAAAACAACCTATTGCTAACTTCTACTAGGAATCACATAGACCATATCCAATGGAATTTTCTATGGGGTTTAACTCCGAAAAAAAGGAAAGTCCACCTTGTTAACTGTGAGACTATAACCACTCCAAAGTTGCTCGGAGGAATGGGGCTTTACAAACCAGTAAGAAGAATTATGCAATGCTAGTATGGTTACTATGGCGATTCCATAAGAACAATCAATCATTATGGGTAAAAATTCTACAAGCAAAATATGTCCAACATCGACGAGTAGACACACACACACACACATGGATAAACGTACTGATTCATACATATGGAAAAGCATGACACAAGCAAATACTCTATTCTGCTCAGAGCTTTCTTGGAACATAGGAGATGGAAAAAAAATCAATCTCTGGAGTGACAACTAGATTCCTCATAATAACTGTTTACGCTACTCAATTGTCACGATCCAAAATCTTAACATGTCATGACAGCGCCTATCGTGGTACTAAGCAACCCGACATTCCCAATATTGCAAACAATTAACAGAAAATGAATCAAAGTAGGTTTAAAGAACAAAAGTTTTCATAAACAAAGTAAAACCCGAAAACACAAATGTTAAAAATTCCCAAACCGAGGTGTCACTGAGCCTATGAGCATCTATACATCAGAAGTCTAGGAGAGAAATATGTATGAAAGTCTGGATCAGAATACAATAAGAGAAAAGTTAAGGAAGGAGAAACAAGGACTGCGAACGTCGGGCAGCTACCTCGAGGTCTCTAATGATCGGCTAAGCGAGATATCAAGACCCACCATGTCCAGAAACACCTGGATCTGCACACGAAGTGCAGGGTATAGCGTGAGTACAACCAACTCAATAAGTAACACGACCAAATAAAGAACTGAAGATAGTGACAAGCTGTACAGTTATAGTTCATTTTCAGTAGTCTCAACAAGAAAAAGTAAACATGCTTTCAAATCCATAAATTTAAGTCAAATCGTTTTAGTCAAGCCAAGTTCAGGTAGAAACCAGATATAATATCTCCTAGAAGTTCAAACAGTGATATATGGCAGCTATGTGCAACAACAAAGAAAGCAAATACAGCCTCTCAAGGCATTAGTCACTCAGTCTTTCTCAATGGCTCATCACTCGGCACTCAGCCCTCAACACTTGCACTCAATATGTACCTGCGCTCACTGGGGGTGTACGGACTCCGGATGGGCACCTACAGCCAAAGCGCTATATCCACATGGACAACTCATGCGCTGAACGGATAACTCACGTGCTATAGTATCATATCGGGATCCGCACAGATAGCTCACATGCTACGGTATAAATATCTAGATCCGCACGGATAACTCACATGCTATGGTATCAATATATCACAATTAGGCCCTCGACCTCACTTAGTAATCAACCTCTCTAGTCTCACGGGCTCTCGGTAATCATGGAAATCAGCCCAAAACAGAAATGATATAACATATCAATAACGAATAATAGAGACTGAGGTAAGATATGCAAATGAGACTACGACTGAGTACAAGTAGCATCTAACAAGTAATTCAACAGGTATCATGGCCTTTGTGGGTCCCTACGCCACCAACACTTAGCCTAAGCATGATTTCTAACAAGATTTACAGTCAAATTTTTATAACACATGGAGAGCATAGCTAACAACAAGTTATTCAACTTCACAGTTCCACACAATGGACCAAGTCATAATTCCCATGGTGCACGCCTACACGCCCGTCACCTAGCATGTGAATCACCTCCAAAAAAATCACATAACAAATAATTCGGGGTTTCATACCCTCGGAACCAGATTTAGAACTGTTACTTACCTCAGTCTGAGCAAAACTCTACACCAATACGCCTTTGCCTCGCATATCGGCCTCCAAACATCCCCAATCTAGCCACAAGCAGTACAATATAATCAATACGGGCTAAAGGAATCAATTCCACAAGAAAACACAAAATTATAAGTTAAAATCCGAAATTGGCTAAAAGTCGGCCCCCGGGCCCATGTCTCGAAATCCAGCAAAAGTCGCAAAAATCGAAAGCCCATTCAATCACGAGTCTAGTCATACAAAATTTATCAAAATCCGACACCAAATCGCCACTCAAATCCCCAAAATCAACTTTCTAAATCCCTAGCCTCAAACCTCCAAATTACACCTAAAAAACACCGACTAGGTGGGAAAATCAACGGGAAACATAATTATTCAAGAAATTTAACCACAAGTGATTTACCTCAAGAATCCCTTCGAAATCTCTCTCAAAAATTGCCCAATTCCGAGTTCAAAATGTTAAAATGGAGCCAAAATTGCTAACCCTAGCATTTATATGTTATACCCAATCAAACCACACCTGCGGTCCCATA